ATGTATGGATTAGAACATCCAAATATTGTAAAATTATACAATCATTATGAAGAAGAGGATTATATTTATTTGATATTAGAATGTGCAACAGGAGGGTAGTTATGGTAAAAGTTGAATCGAGTAGGTCGTTTTGATGAAAAGACTGTCAAACAATTTATGTAGGAAGTCATGTCAGCAATAGAATATTTGCATACAAGAAATCCTCCTATTATTCATAGAGATATTAAACCAGAAAATATACTTTTAGATGCAAATGGACATATTAAAATAGCTGATTTTGGATGGTCTAATATCAATAATCATTAAAGAACAACATATTGTGGTACATTAGATTATTTGGCACCAGAAATGATTTTAGAATGTGGTCATGATGAAAAAATTGATCATTGGAGTTTAGGAGTCTTAATTTATGAATTATTAACAGGCAAAGCACCTTTTGCTCCTTCATCATAAATTAAAGATCAAAAAGAATCCCAAAAAATTCTTGAGGATAATATTTTAAAAGTTAAAATCAATTTTCCAAACGATTTCCCATCATTAGCGAAAAGTTTAGTATAAGGATTACTGTAAAGGGATCCATAGAAGAGATTTAATATTCAAAAAATGAGAGAACATCCTTGGTTTGGAAATTGTTAAATTTAATAAGAAGTATAAAGTGAATAGAAAGTGAAGGCAGAAAATATAAAAGATATTATTAAAGATGATAAAGCATAATTTTCAAAGGAGGAAATTGCTAAAGTTGTCAATAGATAATTAAATTAAACCAAAGAGGAGGATGATGTAATAATAGTAGTAGAGGATTAAAAAGAAAAAGAGAAAGAAAGTACTCATGATTTTTAAAAAAATACAGTTTAATTATTGAATAATAAAATTACTGACCTTTAAAAATAATTAAATGATTCAAAAATATTGTTATAAGTGAAGATAGATGAAATCAAATAGTTGCAATAATAATAATAAGAATAACCTAGTTTATTAATGAATGTAGATACTCGTAAAATAAAATTACTAGAGGAAGAGAAGACAAAATGGAAATAAGCATATGAATAAATTAGAGATGAATTACATGAGAAACAAGCTGTAAATTTAAAATTAAATGCTGAGATAGAAAAAATATAACAATTAACTAAATCTTTAGAAAAATAAAAGGCTGATAAATAGTTATTACAAGAAAAAATAAAAAAACTTTAAGAAGAAATTGATTTAAAAGATTAATAAATTTTAGAATTGAGAACTGAATAAGATGGTAGGGTTTAAAATTCATTTCATGGAAGTTTCTTAAATTAATCCACATTAGAAGATGGTAAAAGTGTAGCGGATTTAAATTTAACATTTTAAGAAATGAAAAATTCTTTTTAAATTGCTCGAGAATAGATTGAAGAATTTGATAAGGCTTAAAGAAGGATTGTATAATAGGAAGCAGAAATATTAGCTTTGAAATCATAATTAAATGAATATAAAGAGTCAATTAGAATAACAGTTTAGGAACAATATGAAGATTAAATGGAAGAATTAGAAAAAAAGTAAAGAGATTAAATTAGGGAATTAGAAGCTAAACATTTTAATGAAATTACAAAATATGAAAATGATAAAATAAGTTTGAGAGATTAATTTAATGAATTAGAAAATTTGAAAAGTGAAGTTATTTTATTAAAAAAGGATTAAGAATAAGCGAATTTAATCATAATGGATTTAAAAAAATGTAAATAATTTATATATTTATTAGAGTAAGAAATAGATAAAAGATTGAGATATTAGATGGAATAAAGATTAAAAGAATAAGATATACTTATATTAGATTTAAAAGAAAAGGAAAGAGTTTATCGTAAAAAATGATTATTTATAATTCACAAATCCTAAATTTTTTAAGATATTTGATTGATTTATTTATCATAATTCTTTTGTTTCTAATCATTCATTTTCTTTTATATATCAACAAGAGTGATGTTCATATATTCTTACTTGGCAGTTGCGATAACATCATTAATATTTTCAAAACCTTATCCAGTTAATGAAGAAACCTCTAATACTGTAAAGTTGTTATAAAATTCCTCTAATGTCAATACCATTTATTTGCTCAAAGTAGATAAATAAGTATCTTTCTTTTTTAAAGCTTCTGTAAATGAATCATAATCTC